TCTCTAAAAATAAATAAGTAAAATCTTTTAAAAAAATAGTCAAAATGTATAGAATGAACACCACCAAGAGTAAACTATAATGGACTTTGGGTGATCGTAATGTGTCAGTGAAGGTTCATCAATTGCAACAAATGTTCCACTCTAGCAGGGGATGTTAACAGTGGAACAGGCCATGTGTGTTTAGGGATAGGGGTATGTGGGAACTCTGTACTTTCCATCCAATTTTGCTGTGAAACTAAAACTTCTCTAAAAAAATTAATTTTATTAATATTTTAAAAAGTGAACAGGTAATTAAATATAATAAATAAATAGATGCTCAATTAAAAACAAGAAAATGTCAATTGAAAACACAATGAGATACTACTACATAGCTCATGGAATGGAGTAAAATCAAACAAAAAATAAATGGTTCAAAGAGCTCGCAAAGGTGCAGTGCAGCTAGAACTTATATACATAGCCAATGGGAATGCAAGACTTTACAGCACTTTGGCAAAGAGTTTGGCAGTTCCTCCTGAAGTTAGACATACAGTCTTGGGTATTACACAGTAGAACTGAAAACACTGGACCACACAAAAACTTTTACACAAATGTTTATAGCAGATTTATCAATAAGAGCCAAAAGCTAGAAAGAAGCCAGACATCCATTAACAGATAAATTATTAAAAAAACATGATACATTCATATTAGGAGGTTCTCAGCAAAAAGCAAAAAGGTGAACAGGTATACAAGAACATAATAGGGATTTTGAAAAGGGATAATAAAAACACTGCTAAGCAGAATTGATGTATTAGAGGTGAGCATGAATTTTACAGTGCTCTTGTATGAAGAGTTTCATGGAACAGTTGACAGCCTAGAAGGGGGCCATCTCCCTGGCATAAACTAAGAAGAATTCTATAATGATCAAGTGAGTGAAGGATTTTAATATTCTCCCCACATTTCATTTCCTTTCACTGGTAACACTAGATAGAAAATACATTAAGTTAATTAAAATTATTTTTTAAAAAAAACACTAGACAAATTAGTGAAATGGGATAATTTTGGTGATGAGAAACAATGTCAGTTGTCATTAAAGCTAGCTAGCACATGCCAGTGTTTTAACAAACAACATCTCAGTAAGTTTAGATTAGCTTATTGGCATTAAGTTGGTCAGCAAATATCTAATAGCTATAATAATTAATTGAGTGATTATGTAATAAATAGTCTTCTAAGCCTTATATACTATTAACTAAATCCTAACAGCAGCCCTGAAGTAGGTCCTGTTATTTTGCCTACTTTGCAAGTAAAGAAACAAAGTAGTTAATTTTTTCAAGGTTGCAGAAAAGTGCCAAGGTAGAGAATTCAAACTCTGTCAGTTCATATTCCAGATCCCATGGGTTTAACCACTGCACCAGTGGTTCTTAAGCTAAGGCTACACATTAGGATCATCCCCATCTAAATATTCAGAATGCCTGAGGTTGGTACCAGACATAGGTGTTTTTTTAAGTGCCTCAAGTGATTGACTTTTCACAGGCCACCAGGGTTGAAAACCAATTACCTACACAGGACTGGCCTTTCTAAAAATGCTCTGCATTTAGTGTGCAATTGCTGTCTTCTTGAAGCAGTACTAAGATGTGTATAGAATAGTTTCTATTCCTAAGAAATTTGATTGGGGAGACTGAAACTCTAAAAGAAAATGGTAGTGTTTAAGATAGCTTAAGTAAGGTACTATCTTGGATTTCATTCAAGAACTAGATCTTTAGATCTGGGTGGTGAACAGAACAAGGGAGTGCTGTTTAGTAAGAATGTGATCTGGGCTAGGCTCTATGCTAATTCAATACAAAATAATCCTGAGAATTAGCTCTTCTGTTTTAGAAATGAGTAAACCAGCTGGGGAGGTTAAAGACCCTGTCTGTAGCCACACTACACATCACTAGTAGAAACAGCTGACAGCCACAGTGCTCTTTCCACCATTGCATTCTTCCTGAAGGGAGACAGGAGGACGTGGGACAAACTAGGCCTTCGAAGAAGGACAGTCATCCAAGGATGGATATAGAAGGTGGAATTGGAAGTGGGAAGAATGTTAGGCTGAGAGGGTAATGTATGAAAAGGGAACAGAAAAAGATATGGTTATAATGGTAGATAGGAGGCATAGTGAGTTGGGATTTTATTTTACATACCTTTTTTTTTTTAAAGAGTATTAGGTGATATATGCAAATAATTTTTTGGTATGTCACATTTGTTACATTAGGCTAGGAAGGACATTATTTAGGAGACCATATATTCAGTAAATAATCCAAATGAATATGAATATCTAGACAGTGTAGTGCAGTAGGATTATAAAAAGATGGACCATTGTGGAAGACATGGAGGAATAACTGACTGAATATGATATCACTGAAAGATAAATTATGTTGTTTAAAAATATCAAGAATAGCTTCTTCTTCCCTCTAAATGAATGGACCCAGACTCAGCAAGATCAGCATGTTCCTCCTGAGATCCTGTGGGAAAGCAAAGGGAGAGAGTCTTAGCCAGGCAATTATTACTTTCCCCCTTCTTTGGATATGCACTGATGGGAAAAAAGGAGGTTGGTATGTTCCAAAAGTAATGAATCCTTTCTGATCGCAAAACTAGAGGACCAGAATGTCCAGGTAGTAGCAGCTGAGGCCTGAATGCATGTCCTGTTGTTTCCAGTGACCCCTAGAGGTCCAGTACCTCCCACCTTCCTTTAGGGCTTCTTGGAAGGGAATTAGACAAGAATTATACTGGCCTTGGCTGGGTGTAGCTTAGTTGGTGGGAGTGTCGTCCAGTATACTGAAAGGTTGCAGGTTCAATTCCTGGTCAGGGTGCATACTTAGGTTGCAGGTTTGACCCTCAGTCAGCCTATGAGAGGCAACCAGTCAATCTTTATCTTTCTCTCCCTTCTTCTCTCTCTAAAAGCAATGAAAAAATGTCTTCAGATGAGGATTTAAAAAAAAAAATTATCCTGGAGATCATCATACCTGAGGTGTGTCATTAAGGTCAACAGGATAGAGCACTTCAAGCTAAAGTAATTTACCAATTATTTGAAACCTCCTAGCCAAAAAATCAATCACATACTTAATAATAAAGGATTGTTAACATTATGAGTTAATATATATAAAGTGCTTAGAACAGTGCCTGACACAGTAGTAAAAGCTATGGTAGTACTGGCCATTATAATAATTATTAAATTTCAAACATAGTATGCTATATAAAAGTTGTGTCAAATAGCTTTAGCTACTTTAGGGGCAGCGTGATAATAAGAGAAAGTCACAATGCTACTTATCAGGAAGGCCGATGTCATAGTCAAAGGCGGTTTTTTCCAGGAGTTCACACTAAGACATTGGAGGTGAGATATAAAGGAAGGGAAGACTTAAGGATGATATAGAAACCCTGAGCCTGAGCCCTGGCTGGTGTGGTTCAGTGGATTGAGTGCCAGCCAGCGAACCAAAGGGTCGCTGGTTCAATTCGCAGTCAGGACACATGCCTGGGTTGTGGGCCAGATCCCTAGTACAAGGTGTGCTGAGAGGCAACCATACACTGCTGTTTCCCTCCCTTTCTCCTTCCCTTCTCTCTAAAAATAAAATCTTTAAAAACAAAAACATGCCTTTTGATCCAGTGATTCCCCTGCTGGGACTATACCCTAAGAATACCAAAACGCCAATACAAAAGAACCTATGCACCCCAATGTTCTTAGCAGCACAATTTACAATAGCCAAGTGTCAGAAGCAACCTAAATGCCCATCAGTAGATGATTGGATCAAAAAATTATGGTACATATACACAATGGAATACTACGCAGCAGAAAGAAAAAAAGAACTACTAAACTTCACGACAGCATGGATGGAACTGGAGAGCATTATGCTAAGCGAAATAAGCCAGGGGGCGAAAGACAAATACCATATGATCTCACCTATAAGTGGAACCTAACCAACAATACAAAGATGCAAGGAAAATAAGACCAGCAACACTGAAAGGAAAAGAAATCAACGGAGACAAGAGGGAAGGTGGGGGTCAGGGAAAAGGAAGGGAAGGGGCAAGTCAAGGAACATATAGCAAGGACTCATGGACAAAACCAAAGGGGAAGAGCTGAGGGAGGGAAGGAGGGAGGGGGCAAGGGAAAGTGGTGGGGGGTAGGCAGAGACAAATGTATTTGAAAAAATAAAAAAAAATAAAAAAAACCTTGACCCTGAAAAACTGCAAATATACCATATTCAAATAGAGAAGTTGGCTTTAAGGTATGGACTAAGAACCTGTAGAAAATTTGGATGAGTTTTTTAAGAGTTTGTGTGACCCAAACAGAAGACATACCTGGAAGCAAAATCTCAACAGACTGAGAAAAATGCTTCCCAGAATAACAGTTTGCAGTTTCTTTTGCACATTTGGAATTAAGGAGGGAAGTTAGGAAGATTACAGGAAAGTGGGAGAAAGCAAGGCAAGGAAATTTTTATGGTTAAACTACATGAGACTTAACAGGATTATGCCTCTTGAGGGTGATTACACAACTGAGGAATGAAAAAGAAGCATTTCAAAGGTATGTTAACCTAGATGCACAAAAATAATGGACAGGGTTTGCTTGCTTAAAGCAAAGGTAAACTTTTACTAGGGAAGTTATAGACCTGAGGTGTGACTACCCTCCATGACCTGCCCAATTAGGAATTTATGATCAGACCACCCTGTGATGTCAGTTTCAGTTAGATTTATTGTAAAGCTCTGTTTTCATCCACAAAGGGCAGGGATTGTAGGTTTAGAATGGGTAGTTTAAAGGAATGCATAGAATTTTAACATAATTTGAGCTATAGTTTATACACTATAAAATTTACCCATTTAAAGTGAATAATTCAGTTTTAGTATTATGCAACCATCATCATTCAATTTTAGAATATTTTCAGCTTCCCAAAAAGATCCCTTGTTCCTGTCTTTAGTCATTCTTTGTTTTGACTCCCAGCCTGTTGTATTGATTTTTTTTTAATAATTATTTAAAGTAATTTTTTCTTTTTCAGGATGGCATTGTAAATCCAACAATAAGAAAAGATTTGAAAACCGTACCCAAATTCTACTGTTGTCCAATTGAAGGATGCCCTAGAGGGCCTGACAGGCCATTCTCTCAATTTTCTCTCGTAAAACAGGTATTTTACTTATCTTAAGCGTACTTTTCTAAGGATGAAATGCAAGTACTATAAGCCTAGTGTGCATTCTAATTACCTACCAAACATAACTAGAGAATTGAGCAGAAAGTTGTACATAAGGACAGTCATCCAAAGATCTCCCAATTGGAAAAGGTGAGTAAGGTATACTGCAAGTGAAAGAGATGTGGCTTGTTCCAGAGGGGAAGATGCCCAGAAGTGTATTCAGAGAGAAAGAAAAAATGACCAATTCAAAGAGAAATTGTGTACTTCATCTCACTTGTGTGAATCTGTATGCTTCCAAGGTCAGACAAGTAAGACACAAAGGAAGTGTTTCCCAAAGGAGCAAGAAATTGCAAATATACCATTTGCTGCAAAAATGCTGCAAAAGAATAATTTCAGAAACACCTATCTTACAAGGAGAGAGGGGCCTAGCAACTGGGGAAAGAGGTAATTCTGGACTGGAAGAGATTGGCAGCTGAAATACTTCCCTGAGGGTTTGCTGGAGGGAGGTCGTATGAAAAATACTGCAGACACTTTATTCTGCCTGCAGCACTTATTTGTAGATCAGAACCTAAAAGCTGGGTACCATGGATTGTTTCCCAAACTGTCTCCGCTCTTTTCACAAAGCAGAAGTGATAGGGAGAAGAGGCATATGAGAAACTGCAACTTACCTGCTTTTATATTCTTTTGATTTGGACTGCTATGTTTTATCATGTAAAATCATTGTATGTGGATGGTTTTTGAAATGTCTTGAGCAGTTGCAGTTTTTCATTCTGGTCCCTTTGTGTTCTTCATAGCACTTTATGAAAATGCATGCCGAAAAGAAGCATAAATGTAGTAAGTGCAGCAATTCATATGGCACTGAATGGGACTTGAAAAGACACGCAGAGGATTGTGGCAAGACCTTCCAGTGCACGTGTGGCTGTCCCTATGCCAGTAGAACTGCATTACAGTCCCACATCTACCGAACTGGCCATGAGATCCCTGCAGAGCACAGGTAAAGGGGAAGAAATGGTGACCCAAAAGTCAATAGCCATGGGAAGAGTTTCAAATGAAGCTTCCTGGAAAGCCGTTAGTATAGGAAGAAAGGAGGAATAATGGAGAAAAGATGTGACATGGAAGAAGGGAACTTTCGGAAATGGCAGCAGTACTAGCGAAGGATCCATGCCTACCTGACCCAGTTCTTCTTCCTTATTCTTTCTGCTGATTCCTTTTGAGGGTTCCTTATCATGAAACTGTATCTCATTTTAAAGGCCAAATTTATATTTGGAGTACTAGCTTCCTATTTTAGAAATAATCAAAGTTGCATTATATATTCTGTTGGATTCCTTATGTTTACAGGTCTAGGTTGAGTTCTAGTACTTAGAGTTTTAACACCCAAAAGAAAGGTATGCTTCCTCTTTCCCTGTTTGCATATTTCTGAACTTATGCCTGCCGTAGAGTAGGCCCAGTTGTCGAAGAGCTGCAAAGGAAGGGATTTCTCTTCACTGGGTTGAATCTGTCCTCTTTTTACATTGTGATTGTTTTCAGGGATCCACCTGGTAAGAAAAGGAAAATGGAAAACTGCCTGCACAACCAGAAGTTGTCCAGTAAGACCACTGAATCATTGAGCAACCAACCAACCCCGAGATCCGACACTCAAGAATTGGAAACTTCAGAAATAAAGCTAGTTGCTTCTTTTGAAGACTCTTGCAGCTCTAATTCCAGAAAGCAGACTCTTACAACAGCTCCAAGATACTCTCAGAAGTTGCTTTTACCAAAGCCCAGAGTGGCTTTGGTTAAACTACCCGTTATGCAGTTTTCTTCTGTGCCTGTCTTTGTGCCTACAGCTGACTCCTCAGCCCAGCCTGTGGTGTTAGGTGTTGATCACCAGGGCTCTGCCCCAGGTGCTGTGCACTTACTGCCCTTGTCAATAGGAACCCTGATCCTTGGACTTGATTCAGAGGCCTGCTCTCTTAAGGAGAGCCTTCCTCTTTCAAAAATTGTGAATCCTGTTGCTGTTGAGCCAATTAGTACAGGTGTTCAGGTGAACTTGGGTAAAAGTTTGTCTAATCCTTTACATGAACTAGGGAACACATGTCAAAAGAACAGCATTTCTTCAATCAACATTCAGACAGATCTGTCTTATGCCACACAAAACTTTATACCTTCTGCACAGTGGGTGAGCCCTGATTCCTCTGTATCGTCTTGTTCTCAAACTGATTTGACATTTGGTTCACAAGTTTCCCTACCCATTAGTGTTCATACTCAAACGTTTTTGCCCAGTTCTAAGGTAACTTCATCTATAGCTGCTCAGACTGATGTGTTTTTAGATGCCTGTTTCCAGCCTGGTGGAATCTCCAGAGAAACTCAAACCAGTGAAATGCAAAGTCCAGCAGATGACCGAGTACAAATGGACCAAGCTGTAATGTGTGGAGACATTTTTGAAAGTGTCCATTCATCATACAGTATTTCTACAGATAATATTCTAAGCAGCAGCTTAGTAGGAGAGACTGTAACTCATGGTTTGTTGCCTCAGAACCACCCTAAGACTTTAAGTCAAGATATTGAGAAACCTGCACCAATTATAAACTTCAATGCACAGAACAGTATGCTTCCTTCACAGAACATGACAGATAATCAGACCCAAACTATGGATTTATTAAGTGATTTAGAAAACATTTTGTCAAGTAATCTGCCTGGTCAGACACTGGACAATCGTAGTCTTCTGTCTGACACAAATACTGGACCTGACACCCAGCTCCCATCCGGCCCAGCCCAGAATCCTGCAATTGATTTTGATATCGAAGAGTTCTTTTCGGCTTCAAATATCCAGACTCAAACCGAAGAGAGTGAGCTTAGCACCATGACCACAGAGCCAGTCTTAGAATCACTGGACATAGAGACCCAAACTGACTTCTTACTTGCAGACACTTCTGCCCAGCCCTACAGTTGTAGGGGAAATTCTAATTTCTTAGGCCTTGAAATGTTTGACACACAGACACAGACAGACTTAAACTTCTTTTTAGATAGCAGCCCTCATCTGCCTCTGGGAAGTATTCTGAAACACTCCAGCTTTTCCATGAGTACTGATTCATCTGACACAGAGACCCAAACTGAAGGAATCTCTGCTTCTAAAAACATACCTGCTCTAGAAAGCAAGGTTCAGCTGAACAGTGCAGAAACACAGACCATGCATTCTGGCTTTGAAACCCTGGGGAGCTTGTTCTTCACCAGCAATGAAACTCAAACAGCAATGGATGACTTTCTTCTTGCCGATTTGGCCTGGAACACAATGGAATCTCAGTTTAGTTCTGTAGAAACCCAGACGTGTGCAGAACCACACACAGTCTCCAACTTCTAAAAATGGAGACCACGTGTGGGATGCATTTACAGTTTCCTTCTGGAATTAGAAAATGAGCAGAGAAACAGTATTAACTCTGTTAAATGTAGCTGATATGCAGTTGCTTTGATTCTTTGAGGTTCTTTGCCTTTTGTACTTGTAAACATGAAATTTGTGTATAAACGTGAGTGTATTATAAATTGAAGATGTTGATCTAAAAAGGATTGCATTGCATTGCCTACATTTGCCCTTTCATTGCTAGCTAGTCTTTCCATATTTAAAAAGAAAAAAGGAATTTCTCACCTTCAAAACCCATTTAGTCATTTAGCTGAAGCCGAGGTTACCAGGTACTAGGGTGCAGACTTTTCAAATCTCCAAAATATTTTAGTCTAAGTGTCTAACTTCAATTGCACCTAAAATATTTTTGACAGTGCTTGTTAGAAATTCCTGCTTCCTGATAGTAATACTTAAATTTGATGCTGTGCCATCAGATTTGAATGCCAGCACTTAGATGGTTTGAAACTCATGCTCCCTGCAGCTTCATCTGCTTTGACATCTCACTCTTTTCTTACTTGCAGACACAAAAGAAAACACCTGCTTTTAGATTTTTCAGACAGCTTTCATGTAGTCTTTGCCATCCCTTCTCTACATGAACTATAATTGATACCAATGTGAGTGTACAGTACTTTCCTCACAAAAGGTGTTATAAAATTACTGCTTAGAGTGGTAGCAGCAAGCACTTAGTGTAAATAATGGTCCTTCTAATCTAAATAAGTCATTCCAATGGGTTGTGGAATCATGCCTATTAGCTCATTCCAGAATGTACCGTACAAACATCGCCACCTGTTCTCTACAGTAGGCCAGGGTGGTGCTCCAGAGCTGTTGGTTAGAGTGCACTGGCTGTGTCTGAATTGTGTCACTCTAAATTTTTTTAAAAAATGGAAAAGGAAAAGGACATTTCCCACTAAATTTCAATACATTAGCTTGAAAGGGAAGAGTGCAATCAACAATTAAAGTGAGTCTTCTTTTCATCCACCTGTCTTTTCCTTAAATAAGGAAAGACATTGGTCTAGCAAGATATTATTTGTGCCTTGAGGATAGCAATTATAGAATAGATCCAGCTTCTGCATTTTGTTGCTTTATTTGTTTACAAAGGTTAATACCAACCGGTCTTCAAAGAAAACTGAGGTGAAGACCAATTGTGTCAATAATCAAGAACATCTATGTTTTGAGACGGGAGCATGGTCAAGGATGCTTTGGGGATTTTCTGTATTTAGGAGATCCTGAATTCTTGATTGTTGGCCAACTTTCAGGCAAGTAAAAATCAATGCAGCCTGCAGTGTAGGTTTTCTAACTTTATCAAAAGAAAAAGAAAGCTCTACCTTCTGTGGCACATGCTTGTGCTGCTAAAGCCTAAATCCTCAAAATAAAACCTAAGGAGGGGACTAATTCATTAAATTGTGTTGCTAATTCCTACTTCATAGAATTATTGTTTGTAATGGGTAAATAGCATATCCTGGGCAGATGAATTCGACCTGGTAGATAAACGTTTGTTTTGGTCAAGTTGCCTATGAATATGGATTTCAAAACAAACATAAAGCCTTAACTTAGGATTTCATTATGTTTTAGAATCATCACTGCCTTAATGTTCACACATCTCTTTTTAAGTTCTCCTAGTAAAGGAGAAATGCATGTTTGTTTATAGCTTTTTGTACATATAAATGCAGTGATCTATGGCTTTAATTTTTTTTTGTTTCTGTGACAGTGTTTGTTGATCCAGCCAATAGAATTATTTATAGAAAATGGAGCATGTTATAGTTCTTTATGTACATGGAAGAAATGTTTCCCCAAAAACCTTAGTTACCTGAATTGTTCTAAGATTATTTGTAAAAACTGAAATTCGGTTATTAAAGAGAAATAAGAATTCCCCCTTTTTATGTGAGTTCTTCAACCTACTCATAATGTGACTCGTGTTGCCTTAATTTTTCACACATTCTTCTTTTGAAAGTCACATGATGAAATGATTGTGCCTAGTTATTTTCATTATTGTTTTACCTTTGGTCATAAAAACACTTTAACAATTTTCCTAATAGAAAATGAAAAGACACCCCAAAGTTTCTATTTCTGATGTCAAGTTTTTGTTTTGATGAAAACTATACACCTTAGGATTTACGTTTTTGGAAAATTTATCCAAAGGAAATTACTCCAATTCATGCATTTGCTAAGTGTGACCACTTTCTAATGGGGTGACTTTTTCTAAATAATGCAGTTTTGGCTTAAAAGCAAAAAAAAAAAAAAAAAAAGAATATGAGTACCTCTTTGCTCAGTCACTAATTTGCAGGAAAACCAAATCACTGTTTCTGATTCTCTTGACATAAAGGTGGAAAATTTTTTGTAGATTTACCAGAAAGATGCCATGTAAGGTTTGAAGCTACTTATGAGGGGAAGAAAATATCAGTGTCAATCTAGTTGTGATGTTGTGTTGCTTATTTATAGTGGCAAATGATAGGTTGATATTTACATTTAATCCTTTATGGCATTAATTTTAGAATGCCTATTTTAATTATAGTACAAAACTGCTCATCAAAACCTGCCATTTATGCCTGGCCAGGTGGCTCAATTAGTTAGAAGTCATCCCATGCACCACCAACAGGTTGGATGTTTGATCCCTGGTCAGGGCTTATACAGGAGGCAATTGATCTCTCTCTTTCTGTCTCTCTCTCTATCTCCCCCTCCCTCTCCCCACTCCTCCCCCCCCCCCCCCGTACCCCCAATTTCTCTCTCTCTAAAATGAATAAATATATCCGCAGGTGACTAAAAAACAAAAACCTGCCCTCTAATACTCTGAAGAGTACTTTCTAGCATATTTATTTTTAGAGAGAGGGGACGTGAGGGAGAGAAACATCAATGTATAGTTTCCTCTCATGCTCCCCCTAATGGGGACCTGGGCTGCAACCCAGGCATATGCCCTGACTGGGAAAATGAACCAGTGATCCTTTGGTTTTCAGGTCTGCACTTAATCCACCGAGCCACACCAGCCAGGGCTACTTTCTAACATTTAAATCAGTGCTTCTCAAACTTGTCCTCATGTAATTTGAGGGCATTTAGGGGTGAAATCTTTGAAGTTTCGAGTAGTATGCAGTTTTATTTCCTATATATTTCACAAAATGTGTGTGTGTGTCTTCTCATCTGAAGTGTGTTAAAGTACCACTGATTAGATTTGACACTAGGACATGTCAATCTTTTGATTTATACATATTCCCAACATCTAAATTTGATAAATAAATTTTAATCCAGTTTCTTCAGCAAGATGTTGGCTAGCATAATGTTCTTATGGCCAAGGAGATAGTCTGCTTAATACTATTGTTTTGCAATGTTTACATCCAAAGGATACTGTCAGTCATGTGAACTACATTTATTAGCAGATACACTCAATGTTCTCAAACATTAATAAACGTAGGCACTGCATTTAAAAATATGCATGTTTGGCCCTGATGTGTTGCTCAGTGGGTTGGGCATGAAAAGTCGAAAAGTTGCCAGTTCAATTCCCAGTCCGGGCATGTGCCTGCAGTGCAGGCCAATTGATGCAGTCAACCAATCAATGTTTCACACATGGATGTTTCTCTTCCTCTCTCCCACCCTTCCCCTCTCTAAAACTAAAACCTTTTTTAGAGAATATGCATATTTGGCCCTGGCTGAGTGCTCAGTTGGTTAGTCATCCCAATACACCAAGGTTGTGGGTTCAATCCTTGGTCAGGGCACATACAAGAATCAACTAATGAATGCATAAATAAGTGGAACATCAAATCTCTCTCTCTCTCTCTCTCAAAATCAATAAAAATTTAAATTAAAAGAAATGCATGTTTGAAAGGAGCAAGTGCCCAAACGATGTGGATAAATGAAAGCATTGTCTATTAATACTTGAACTGAAAGAGTACCAATATTCATTCAGTTTTTTCAACAAACTTAAAAATAAACTGCAAGTTTTATTTTGCCTTACTAATAAGCACATTTGTAATTTTATTTGAAAAAACAAATTTAAAAATTGTGAAAGTTAGCTAGTATAGGAAAGACTATTGCCAAGGTCCTTCCATTAAATTTTGGTACTTTACTCTCCAGCAAGTTAATATAGGACATAAGACTGGAAAAATAAACAACAAAATTAAAACAAGTGATAGTCTCTTTTTAGTTTATCAGTGAAATTGTTTCAGAAAATGACAAAGTTCTTAAAAAGTTCATCTCCATGATAACTTTGTCATTCTCAAAAGTATATATGTTACCTCAATGTGAACAGAGACTTTTTTTCTTTTTCCTAAAGGAGTGAGCTTAGTAGCATGGTATGTGTCAATAAGACCTTGTTCCAAGCCTGGCATCCTCTTACTGCTGCTTGCAGCTTTTTACTCTTTGCTTTCTGGTGATCCACTGCTTTTTTTCATGTCCTGGTTGTGAAATATTTGGTTTTATGATTGCATCTCAAACATGTTCCTGCTTAAGTCTGAATTTGAAACTGATCCCTCTCCTACTTTATCTTTTTTTTCCCTGCTGTAATGAGAAGTTTAGCAACTTCAGAAAATACAGAGTTCATGCTGCAATAAAAATTTGGTAGAAGCCTATGCATCTGAATTAACTTATCACAAAAGGATATTTAACCCTAAAATGCTCCTCAGTAACTTTTCCCTATTTAAAAAATGAGCCTTCAAAAATTAAAATTTTATATTACACCTTTGAGAAACCAACCAAACTTTGGCAAACTATGCTTTAGGAATTACCCTATACTGTCTTATTTCAGTTCATGGTAATAATGTTTAGCTATATTTGAGAGTCTAGTACTATCAATGAATTGTAAACTGATACCAATTTTTTTTCTTCTTTTTTGGTAAGATGTGGTATATTTTTAAACCACTTAAATCACTCTTCATCCTCTAATGAAATATGTGTCTAAATAGTAAGTCTTCAGGTTTATAGTTCCCTAAATAAATAACTCTGGCTGGGGTGACTCAGTGGATTGGGTGCCAGCCTATAAACCGAAAGTTCACCGGTTTGATTCCCAGTCAGGGCACGTACCTGGGTTGTGTGCATGAAGCAACTAATTGATGTTTCTCCCTGCCTTCCCCTCTCTCTAAAAATAAATAAAGTATTTCAAAAAAATAATGTAGCCTTGGCTGGTGTGGCTGAGCCGGCATGCAAACTGATATGTGACTGGTTTGATTCTCTGTCAGGGCACTTGCCTGGGCTGTGGGCCAGGTCCCCATTTGGGGGCAAACGAGGCAACCAATTGATGTTTATCCCTCTCTCTCTCTCCCTCCTTCCTCTCTCTGAGAAGTAAATAAAGTCTTTAACAAAAAATAAGAATAAAAAATAAAATAAAAAAATATATAAAGTTCTCTAAATAGCCCTGGCTGGTGTGGCTCAGTGGATTGAGTGCCAGCCTGCAAACTGAAAAGTCACCGGTTCAATTCCCAGTCAGGGAGCATGCCTGGGTTGCAGGCCAGGACCCCAGTTAGGGGTGTGCAAGAGGCAATTGATTGATGTTTCTCTCCCTTCTCTTTCTCCCTCCCTTCTGCTCTAAGAGTAAATAAGAAAAATCTTTTAAAAAAAAAAAAAGTTATCTAAATAGCTTCCATATAGTATGTCTTCCTGACATTGTGTTTTCCTGAAATTACATTAGAAAAATCAGTCAAGAGGATTTGGGTGAATAGCCACAGAAACTAAGACTTCACAAATGAAGAGTTATCAGGACCAGTGGTATTTATCCCAAATTAAATATTTTGTTCAGAAATTACTAGTTTTCTTCAGAGCAGCATGCAGATCAAAACAAAAGAAATTGTTAAGAGTTCTTTCACATTTAGAGGCTTGGTTAATAGTCATAACCCTCCTGTGGTGCTGAAAATAAGACTAGTTTATAGTATGTTTTCAAGTTTGCTGTTCTAAGTTTAATAAGCAGATGGATTGGTTCATTTTAACAGATACACAGGGAAGAAAGGCCTGTAGTTTGAACTAAATGGAAGAAAAGTCATTTTCATATGTATTTGTAAAGAATCAATTTGCCAGTGGTTAAACAGAATGTTGTATACAGTGTTAGCTGCCTCTTAATATTTACATTGATTTAGCACCGTGTATGTGAAAATAGTATTGCTTAAACAGTAGATTTCCTAATGGCATTAAATGTAAATGCATTAACTTAACATCTTAGAATTTTCTTGAACACCTCACCAAAACAATAATGCACATTTTTCAAGGGATAAGTGAATGCCAACAGCTCTTCCTAGTGCCAGCTAAATATACCCTATTGCTACTATAAGAGATATTCTCTCAGAGAAGAGCAGGCTGGTTGTCACTTCCTTCTGGAGGGGACCAAGGCAGGTGACACCAGAAGATCTTGGAGGACCAGGTCAAAACTGAGAGCCCCACAGGGCTGTATATCCAGAGTATCTGTGCTTTGCAGGGTGAAACAAGCAGCTCTTTCACATTTCCTTCACCTCTATGCCAAGGTTTCTGCTTGCTCTGTAAGCAAAGTTGTCAGAGAAGCTGCGAACAAAGGCATTGGTTTCTAGAATTACTAATTCCCAGCAGTGGTTCTCAGCTGGACTGCTTTTGCCCTTGCGGTAGGTCAAACATCTGGAGACATTCTTTATTGCCACAACTGGGGTTACTATTAGTCTAGTGTGTAGAGAACAGGGATATTGCTAAACATCCTACCATGCACAAAACAGCCCCCACCACAGATAATTACTCAGCCCCAAACGCCAACAGTTTCAAGATTGAAAAGCCCTACCCTAAGGGTAAGCCAGTTGGTGAGGTGGAACTTTAGGCATATGGTAGACACAATATCAAGCTAGGCTGTTGCGTTCTTTAAGTATGTATGGTTTTTTTTTAAGTATTGTGTTGGCCAAAAAGTTCATTTGTTGTTT